ATTTCCAAAATAATATAGAATAAGACCTTTTTTTCCACAGCAACCTCAGACTCCTGGGCTCAGCCGATCTTCCTGCCTCAGCCTCCTGAGTAGCTGGGACTACAGGCATGTGCCACTATGCCTGGCTATTTTTTTTTTCTTCTATTTTTAGTAGAAAAGGGGTCTCACTCTTGCTCAGGGCTCTAACTCCTGAGATCAAGAGATCTTCCCACTTCGGCTTCCCAGAGTGCTAGGATTACAGGCATGAGCCACCACGCCTGGCCCTAGAACTTTATTTTGTAAGAACTCTAAAACTGATGATAACCTTCATGTGTCTCCTTAAATCATTTCTTCTCCAGGCAAAACCTGTTCTTGTAACATTACTTGTATGCTGTGTTTTCCAGTTCCTCTTATTATTTTGATAACACTTCTGTTTTATCCATGTCTCTTAAAATTTGGTCCCAATGATGAAACGTACACCAGTGCAGATTATAAAGAGACTATTATTTCTCTGCCATGGAGGATATGAAAATGGATGTAACCTAAAATTGCCTGTATCTTTTTAGCAGTCATACTGTTGGCTAAGATTTAAATATTAAAACTCCAGATCTCTTCCATGGAACTACTATTAATCTTTTATCTTTTTGTCTTATAAACACTAAATCTCATGACTGACTGAGTTGTCCTCTCTGTTTGGCTGCTGAGGAACTTTGCCAGATTTGATATCTACCTCTTGCAAGCCTTTAAAACCTTGTATGTACTCACTTACCCCTGGCTTCATGTTTCTCCCTCTGTCTTTCCTTTCTACCCAAATTAATCATTTTTCCATACCAGTCTTATTGTATAATGTTTATATTCATAAGATGTCATAAATCCTTTTTTTAAAAAGGGATAGAATATAAATTAAAAAACAAACATCTTAGTCTCTTTCTATGCAAGTGCAAATTCTTTTGTTTATATTATTAATATTCCTTCAGTTTATAATCTTCACTCAAAAATAAATCATCATGATGTTAAAATATTTGAAGTCATTAGCATTGCCTATATGGCCTAAATTTTCATTTCTTTTTTCAAAAATGCTTGTAAATATAATTGTGTCATTGTACTGTATGCATTTAAAATACTTATAGCCAGGCCGGGCGCGGTGGCCCACGCCTGTAATCCTAGCTCTCTGGGAGGCCGAGGCGGGCGGATTGTTCGAGCTCAGGAGTTCGAAACCAGCCTGAGCAAGAGCGAGACCCCGTCTCTACTAAAATTAGAAAGAAATTAATCGGACAACTAAAAATA